GGCACTACTCGTGTGGCTAGTAGAGGGAACTGATTGATAGCGCTGTTTTGTACTTGTTTTTGGCTAGTAGTTTTATACGATGTAGCTTACGAAAACACATCTTAAGGTGAAACGAAAGAAGAAAAGAAGAGAAGAGAAGGAAGGAAGGAAGGAAGGAAGGAAGGAAGGAAGGAAGGAAGGGAAGGGAGGGGAAGAAGGAAGGAAGGAAGGAAGGGAAGGAAGGAAGGAAGGGAAGGAAGGAAGGGAGGGGAGGAGGAAGGAAGGAAGGAAGGAAGGAAGGAAGGAAGGAAGGAAGGAAGGAAGGAAGGAAGGAAGGAAGGAAGGAAGGAGAAGGAAGGAGAAGGGAAGGAAGAAGGGAAGAAGGAAGGAAGGAGAAGAAGGAAGGGAAGGAAGGAGGAAGGAAGGAAGGAAGGGAGGGGGGAAGGAAGGGAAGGGAAGGAAGGAGGGGGAAGGGGAAGGGAAGGAAGGAAGGAAGGAAGGAAGGGAAGGAAGGAAGGAAGAGAAGGAGGAAGGGGAAGGAGGGGAAGAGAAGAAGAGAAGAGAAGAGAAGAGAAGAGAAGGGAAGGGAAGGAAGGAGAGGGGAAGGGGAAGAAGGGAGGAAGGAAGGAAGAAGGAAGGGAAGGGAAGGAAGGGAAGAGGGAGAGGGAAGAGAAGAGAAGAGAAGAGAAGAGAAGAGAAGAGAAGAGAAGAGAAGAGAAACGAGGGGGGAGGGTTGAGAGGAAAGAGGAAGAATGCAATGATTGTTGTTATTATTATGTATTACAAAGGTGTTATTCTCTAATTTATTTTATTATTCAGTCTTCTAACCCAATGGTTAACTAAAATATTGTCGAGTTAATTAAAATATCTCCATTATTTTAAAGCACTTTAGGATAGTTAATACTTGAATATATTTCATTATTTTGATGTACTGCGATGAAATATATAATAGCCGGATGTAATATTTCAAACACAACTTTTTCTAATAACTAAATGAATTTATTTTAAACTGATGAATAATAATAATCATACGAAGCAAAATTGATTCCTCTCTTATGCTTCATTTAGTGTCGCGATACTGATTAGGTTACAAGTCCGTGCGTCAGATCTTGCGTCCGGTCCGTGCGTCAGATCGTGCGTCCGGTCCGTGCGTCAGGAGTTACCAATACAGTAACTGGACAATCAGGGCAAGAATTCGAACACGTCAATAATGAAACAGTCTGTGTTGTTACTGAGGTGCTTGGTGGCGTCTTGGTCTGGCGCCTGACCTTAACCACCATTACCAGCGACCTTATTATAGTGACCGCTAATGGTGGGGAGGGGGGGCAGTACACTCATACACCCACATTATCGTTCCCCTTGCAGCGGCTACACCCAACTGAGTGTAACTATGCTGATAACTTGTAGTAATTTAATTTAAGGGTTATTCTGAAATGATAATTTTTTAGTACTGGATGGGGAGTGGGGAGGGGGGGGAGGAGTGAGGAGAGGGGAAAGGAGAAGGAGGAGGGTGCAGTGGTAGGGATGGGAGGAGTTAGAAAGGGGAGAGGAGGTGTAGAGTGGAAGGGGATGGAAGAGGAAGCCTTTGGTTTAAGCTGTGGGTGAAAGGAAAGGGAAAACGTTGAAGAGAGTGAGAGGGGAGATTATAGGGGAGAAAATGGGGGGGTGGGGAGGAGGGTGAGAGAGGATGAGGATATGTGTGTGTGTGTGTGTGTGTGTGTGTGTGTGTGTGTGTGTGTGGTCGCATAAAATTAAAAGTTAGGTTAGTTGGTCAGGTAGTTTGTTGAGTTAGTTAAACAAAGTGACAATTTTATACAGCTATGGCACCTGTCCTGAATAATTATGAGCACACCTGTCCTGAATAATTATGAGCACACCTGTCCTAACTAACAATGTACACACCTGTCCTAACCACAATGTACACATCTGTCCTGACTTACAATGTACACACCTGTCCTGATCAATGTACACACCTGTCCTGACTAACAATATCCACACCTGTCCTGACTAACAATGTCCACACCGTCCTGACTAACAATATCCACACCTGTCCTGACTTACAATGTCCACACCTGTTCTGACTAACAATGCCCACACCTGTCCTGACTAACAATATCCACACCTGTCCTGACTAACAATATATAATTTCGGAAAATACACACGAGAAAGTAATATCATCAGAAAGTAAAAAAGAAAGTATTTGAGAAAGTACACCCAAAGTATTCCATTAGTACACATAAGCAAATACGATCATTCGAAAGTACACATGAAAGTATTATACCAGAAATACACCCACAAAGTATTATTAGAGAAAGTAACGAGGAAAGTATTATGGTAGAAAGTTGATGACGACAGGTTGCGGGAATACGAAAGGCTTGTCACATAAAGGTCAATCTGTTGATGAACCTCCCGCAAGCGACTACCGCACTCCCCCCTGTCACGACGACTATTTCTGGAGCTATTTATTAAATTTTCCCGGGCTATTAATTATATGTTTGAGCAGTTTATTTTGTTTATGGAGCTATTAATTATATTATTCTGCAGCTATATATTATATAATGGAGCTATTAATTATAATATTCTGGAGCTATGTATTATATATTATGGAGCTATTAGTTACATTCTGGACCTATTTATTATATTATGGAGCTATTTAAATATTCTTTAGTTATTGTTCATAATTTCTACAGCTATTAATTATGGTTCTGGTGCTATTAACTTTTCATTGGGATTTTTGCTGTTGAGTGTCATTCCCTCTCTCCTTCCCTCCCATTCCCTCTCTCCTTCCCTCCCATTCCCTCTCTCCTTCCCTCCCATTGCCTCTTCCTCCCACGCCTTTATCCTCCCTCCCATTGCCTCTCCTTCCCTCCCATTCTCTCTCCTTCCCTCCCATTCCCTCTCCTTCCCTCCCATTCCCCTCTCTCCTTCCCCCTCCCATTGCCTCTCTCCTTCCCTCCCATTCCCTCTCCTTCCTCCCATTCCCTCTCTCATTCCTCATTCCCTCTCCTTCTCCCATTGCCTCTTCCTTCCCTCCCATTCCCTCTCCTTCCCTCCCATTGCCTCTCCTCTTCCCTCCCAGCCCTCCCTCCCTCCATTCTCTCTCCTTCCCTCCCATTCCCTCTCCTTCCCGCCTTTATTCTATCTTCGTTTCACCACTTTGCCTTTGACATTCTCTCCCCCCTTCCTCTCCTCCTCCCCGTTCTCTCATTCTCCCCCTCATCCCCTCCACTAAACCACTAAACCATTACATATTTACACGACTAAAACTCAGCCTTATCAGTATCATTAAACCTTAATATGTTAGAAAGGGGAGGAAGAGAGGGAGGACGAGGAGACGAAAGAATAGGGGGAGGGGTAGGAGGAAGAGTAGAAGGAGGTAAGGGGAAGGGAGGAAGAGATGGAGGAGAGAGGATTTGTGGTGTCTTGCTTCATTGACTCCTGTTACATTCATACATTCTTAACTCAACATCATCATCTATTATACTACACATTCATACATTCTTAACATCACATTAACACCACCAGCTAATGTATTACACATTTTCACACTCATGCCACTGACGGCACCAGTAAGTTAAACACGGCAGGATAACACCGTAGAGTTTATCAGTAGCCTCTTCACCTGTTGGACCATTTAGCAACCTGTATCTGTTGTTCATATGGTGTGTAATCCAGGTTGGTGTTATTATGTTTCTTGTTAGGGTAAATTATTGATCTATCTCTTTCTCACCGGTTAGGAGGTAAATATAACTTAACCACCTCTTGAGACTCGAAGCCCATGTTGTGTATTTTAAGGGATCTTTTTTGCTTCACTAGTCGTCGTAACTGTTGCCTCACCAGTCGTCGTAACTCTTGCCTCAGCAGTCCTAGTAACTCTTGCCTCACCAGTCGTCGTAACACTTGCCTCACCAGTCGTCGTAACACTTGCCTCACCAGTCGTCGTAACACTTGCCCACAGTCCAGCACCAGTCGTTGTAACACTTGCCTCACCAGTCGTCGAACTCTTGCCTCACCAGTCGTCGTAACCTTGCCTCACCAGTCCTAGTAACTCTTGCCTCACCAACACGCCTTACGTCAACACTTGCCACACCAGTCGTTGTAACACTTGCCTCAATTGTCGTCGTAACACTTGCCTCACCAGTCGTCGTAACTTTACCTCACCAGTCGTCAACATCACTCGCCTCACCAGTCGTCGTAACACTTGCCACACCAGTCGTCGTAACACTTGCCACACCAGTCGTCGTAACACTTGCCTCACCGGTCGTCGTAACTCGTGCCACACAGACCGAGGCTCACGCTGGGAAAATCCTGGCGGTGATGTAACACACAGAGAATCCTTATATATTAGGTAATCGGGAGGCTCACCTATTTTTATCTAATTATACTGGCGGCCAGGTGATATAGCCCCCTCCGTGAACCCTACCTGTCCAGTGTTTCTCCTTCAGGTTGTCTTTATAGTTTGTGAACACGGGAGGTTGTGGCCTGTAGGGGGGGTGTGTACGTATGGTTGTGTAGTTACTTGGGTGTTATTTTAAGGTTTCTATTGTGTACTGGGGTGTAGTTAGTTAGTTAGTTATTCACTTTATACCGTAGCTGAGTGTAGTTTCTGTGAGTTAGGTCTCTCTCTCATACACACACACACTGCTGTCATTAAGAGCAGTACGATGATTTTCTTGGGTGTGCGTTTGTGCATCCGTCCGTCCGTCCGTCCGTCCGTCTTAATTATGTGATCGTGGAGCTGTTACTCAGATGTCCAGGTACTAATGAGGGGGAGTAAGGTGTCTCTGAACGGTAATTACCCCTTAGTATACTGTATCGTGTTAAGTTATTATCCAGACACGTTTAAAACATGTTAGGCATCGTGTTGTTAAACCACACACACACACACACACACACTAGTAACTCTTGATATTCTCCGCTAAACACAAAAAATGTACTGTATTTACTGTAACCTGTGTAAAACGTGTTACCAACCGGTCCTGGACATGTTTTGGTGTGACTGACGTTGTTGTTGTTTACAGCGGGATGTTCCTCGCCCCTCGGGATGGAGTCGGGCCACATCGAGGACCATCAGGTCACAGCCTCCTCCTCCTACGATGTTGTCACCGGCCCTGTCTCCGCCAGGTGAGTCTCCTACCTGTGTGTGTGTGTGTGTGTGTGTGTGTGTGTGTGTGTGTGTGTGTGTGTGTGTGTGTGTGTAATAATAGTAATTGTGTGTGTATGTATAATAATAATAATAATAATAATAATAATAATAATAATTAACGGTTTATTGAGAGCATGGCAGCAGAAGGCTGAAAATATACAGTTACATAATTGGAATGTCTCTTAATTTACAAATAATATAATAAATATAAGTGATACAAATATGATATATAATAACTAGATGGGGAAAAGTCATACTACAGGGCATTTCAAATATAGTGCATAAGAATACACTGGTTGATTACAAGTTATTGATAATTACAATGGTTGGGACTGGGCTGTTCTTATAGCGATCAGTTAGTGCTCGTATGGGCTGGATGCAGTTGTGGTGTCGAACAGCATTCTCGGGCGAGGGATCTGTGGTAGTAGGAGCCGGTGTCGAGGATGGTGCAGAAGCTTCTCACCAAACCTGCAGATGAGGTCGTTGATGGTCAGAGAGAGCTGAGAGGGTGTATGGATGGTGTGTGTGTGTGTGTGTGTGTGTGTGTGTGTGTGTGTGTGTGTGTGTGTGTGTGTGTGTGTGTGTGTGTGTGTGTGTCCGCCAGGTGAGTCTCTGTGTGTGTGTGTAATTTATAACTCTTTCCTTCAGTCTTGTCTATGATCGTCTCTCTCACCAACCTTTCTCCTCTTCCTCTTCTTGTCTTCCTTATTTCTTGTCGTTCTTCCTTTCTTCCTTCTTTTTTGTTTCCTTCCTTCTCCCTTGTCTTTATTCTTCTCTCCTCTTCCTTATCTCTCTTCCTCTCTTCCTTGTCTTTGTTCCCTCTTCTTGTCTTTCTTCCTCTCTTCCCTCTTCCTTGTCTTTCTTCCTCTCTTCCCTCTTCCTTGTCTTCCTTCCTTTCTTCCTTTTTTCTCTTCACCCTCTTCCTTCATCTCTTTATTAATCCACCAAGAAACTCAATTTATTTTTGGTTGTGACGTCATAGTCCTTTCGCGCCAAATTTCTGAGCCTCAGATTGGTTGACGCGTCATGCTCGTCTCCTGCCAGATTTCCAGCCTTTTGATTGGTTGAGGCACCGTGGCTCTTTCCCGCCCGATTTCTAGACTTCTTATTGGTTGAACCGCTTTGCCTATCTCGCGCCAAATTTACCAAGATTTTAATTGGTTTAGTATCTTCTTCACACAGCCTTTACAATCCCTGGTATCGTAAATTAACACTATTATCTCCTCTTGGTATTACCAATCCCTAATCCCTAATCATCATACGTTATCAACCCTAATCACCATACTACCATCAATCCCTAATCACCATACTACCATCAATCCCTAATCACCATACTGTCATCAATCCCCTAATCACCGTCACGTTTGATTGGGTCTGAAGTGTGGAAGTCAACAGAGCGATAACTGAACTGAACCGTCAGATAAGTTAGTGAGTGAGCTGGGTTCTTCTCCTTACAACCAATTGCAGTTGCTCAAGTAATTAGCTTGGTTTAAGGTGTAAGGTCTTTGAGGAGGAGGGAGGGGTGACGGAGAGGGGATGGGGGGGACGGAGAGAGGATGAGAGGGGGGGGACGGAGAGGGATGGGGGGTGACGGAGAGAGGATGGGGGGGTGACGGAGAGGGATAAGGGGGTGACGGAGAGGGGATGGGGAAGGGTGACGGAGAGGGGAGGAGGGGGTGACGGAGAGGGATGGGGTGACGGAGGGGGGATGGGGGAAGGTGACGGAGAGGGGATGAGGGGGTGACGGAGAGGGATGGGGTGACGGAGAGGGATGGGGGGTACGGAGAGGGATGAGGGGGGTGACGGAGAGGGATGAGGGGGGTGACGGAGAGGGGATGGGGGTGACGGAGAGGGGATGGGGAAGGGTGACGGAGAGGGGATGAGGGGGTGACGGAGGGAGGATGGGGTGACGGAGAGGGCATGGGGGTGGATGGAGAGGGATGAGGGATAAGGGGTAGGAGGGGAGGCTAGAAGAGAGGGGATGATGGGTGAGGGGAGGAGAGGGGGATGAAAGGAAGGTGAGGAACTAGGCAAGGGAGGGATATAGGTAGGGGTTAGAGAAGAGGGGGAGGAGCAGCCAAGGGTTAACAGCTCATTTCTGTACTCCATTATTTCCCTCTCCCCTATCTCCCACCTCCTTATCTCCCCCTCCTTATCTCCTCCTACCCTCTTATCGCCAAGTACCTCACCCTCCCTCCTCATTCTCCCTCCACTTATCCTCCCCTTATCTTCACCTCACATCTCCTGTACCTCTCCCCTCCCCCACTTCTCCCCACCCCCTCCCCATCTCCCTTCCCCTTATCTCTCCCTATCTCCCTTATCTCCCAGGACACAGAGCTATTAAAACCTACCCGATAATATAGTTTTTCACTCACAGTTCAGGGGTAAAGAACGACCTCTAATTACTCCAGTCTCAACTCACTTTGGACGCCATTACCTCTCGCATCACGGAAAGTTGGATGTAGGTGAGGTGTTTAGGTGAGGTATTTAGGTGAGTTGGTTAGTGTGAGGTAATCTCGGGAGGTTATGGTGGAGGTGTGGGGTGATCTCGGGAGGTTATGGTGGAAGTGTGGGGTGATCTTGGGAGGTTTTGGTGGAGGTGTGGGGTGATCTTGGGAGGTTATGGCTGGAGGTGTGGGGTGATCTTGGAGTTATGGTGGGTGCATGAGGTAATCTCAGGAGGTTATGGTGGAGGTGTGAGGTAATCTTAGGAGGTTATGGTGGAGTGTGAGGTAATCTTGGGAGGTTATGGTGGAGGTGTGGGGAGTGATCTCAGGAGGTTATGGTGGAGTGTGGGGTGATCTTGGGAGGTTATGGTGGAGGTGTGGGGTGATCTTGGGAGGTTATGGTGGAGGTGTGGGGTGATCTTGGGAGGTTATGGTGGAGGTGTGAGGTAATCTTGGGAAGTTTTGGTGGAGGTCAGGAGGCCACTATCAGCCAGGGTTAAGATAGATTAAAACGCTGATGATTTATTCAGCTGAGTCGAAGCTTCATTTGAGGAGGATCGATCAAGTCATTAGCGAGGTCGAGCATTAATCACGTGAGGAGAAGGGGGGTGGGGGGATATGGAGGGGGGTGGGGGACGTGTAGGGTTGAGGAGGAAGTGGGGATGGGGGGGTGGATGGGTATGGAGCTAAGGGGTGGGGGCACAAAGTTGATGGGCTGAGGGAGACGAGGGGGGGTGGGGAGAGGAAGCTGCGGGTTGGGGGGAGGAATTTGTAGGGTTGTGGGGAGGAAGGCGAAGGAAGGGAGTGTAGGACTTCTTCAACCACTCCTTCGGGAACAGGATAACACTTTCTTCAGCCCTCGGCCTTAGCATCTTACCTATGCGTTATTTAGTGTCTTATTTATGTACTTTATGTGCATTAGTTTCGACCTTAAGGTGTCCAAATTATGTGAGGTATTTCTTGTTATTTTTCCTCTTCTTTCTTTCTTTCTTTCTTTCTTTCTTTCTTTCTTTCTTTCTTTATTTATTTCTTTCTTTCTCTTCTTTTCTTTCACCTCCTTCTCCTCTAACTACTACCACTACTACTATTACTGCTACTACTACTGTACTTCTTATCGTGGCCTCCAGCCTCCCCCAATAGCCACATCTTCGCAGCCATTTTATTACCTTAAAATTAAATATCCTAATACATAAGTAGCTATCCTAGCTGTGTTGAATTAGTTGAGCCGCAGATCTATGCGGCATTCAGTGACTGTTGCCTCAGTCAATATCTGCAACTGTTGTCGGCTTTGGGACCGATGCTCTCGTTCCCCTGAGGCAGAGCAAAGCCGACCGAAGGATAGAGAAGGACAGTCGACATCTCATCCAGGCTGTAACATAACTTCTGGGCTGCTGCTACTGTTCGGAGATCACCTCCGCGAATCTGGCATAGAAGCATCTTGCACTTGGTCCCATCCCACCAGAGGTTGTGAACACTAGAGGAGTGAAGCTGCCTTGATCAACGTTCTGAATCCTCTCCCCGTATGCCCTTCTCTTGTCGTTCTCGTTCCTCCTGTGTGCAGCATTGAGAGCTAAGTTACGGTGACATGCGGCCATGGGATCAAAAATCCTTATGTCAAAGAAGGCTCGCTGTCCCCGCGTCTACTGCTACTACTACTACTACTACGACTCTTACTTTCTGCCTCCTCCTCCTGGACACGACATAAGATACATGTTAACCCTCACATAACACCATAACCCTCAGCATAACACCATAACCTTCAACAAAACACCATAACCCTCAACATAACACCATAACCCTCAACATAACACCATAACCCTCAACATAACACCATAACCCTCAGCATAACACCATAACCCTCAACATAACACCATAACCCTCAACATAACACCATAACCCTCAACATAACACCATAACCCTCAACATAACACCATAACCCTCAACATAGCACCATAACCCTCAACATAACACCATAACCCTCAGCATAACACCATAACCCTCAGCATAACACCATAACCCTCAACATAACACCATAACCCTCAGCATAACACTATAACCCTCAACATAACACCATAACCCTCAACATAACACCATAACCCTCAACATAACACCATAACCCTCAACATAACACCATAACCCTCAACATAACACCATAACCCTCAGCATAACACCTCGCCCTTTTAAGCTGGGCTGTAATTAGGATGTCGGGGCGTAATGAATGAACCAGGTTGGGAGGGTCGGCGGCCAGTTCACCGAGGTTCAGCTGACAAGGTGAGAAGGGGGTAGCCATGGCGGTGGTTCTGTCTGTGTCTGTCTGTCTGTCTCTGTCTGTCTGTCTGTCTGTCTGTCTGTCTGTCTGTCTGTCTGTCTGTCTGTCTGTCTGTGGTATATAAGTGGATCTGACTCGTTGTTTGGCAGGTTAAGTGTGTCCTTGAAACCTAACTTGACCTGCCTTGTGATCCTTCTGACCTGCCCTAGCATGACCTGATCTCTTTTGTGTCGCCCTGACTCAATGTGACTTGCCTCGTGTC